AAAATAAAGAGACAACGCACAAAAATACGAACAAGCTATACAAGAGCAAGAATATACAAAATACGACAAAATGGACCGGTCGAGCCTAAAAACGGACCTAAGAATCACAAAATAAAACACATAAAACATAAGAAAATAAGGACAAAAACACAACAAACACTAGTATACAACTAGGTTGACAACACAAGTGTAAACACTCATAAAATTAAAAATAAAAAAATACACAAGTGGATGTTTACACTTGTGTTGTCAACCTAGTTGTACACTAGATTGACAATGTATCATTTTTCTTAATTTAAATGTCAAACACCGAAAATAAAGTGATATAATAAAATTAGACCGATAAATATTGCACTTTTCATTCAACTTACAATTTTGCATTTTCAAACTTTTAATTTAAAACCATTATCAAATTTTAGTTTTTTGTTGTCATTTGAAAATATGACTCGAGTTCCTAAATAATACAAGTTTTTGAATACTTTACTGTTTATATATGGTTGAAGAAATATAACACAAAATAGCAAAATAATGCAAAATACATTTTAACACTGGTGTCATTTCAGTATTCCGCGTAAGTTTTTCGTTAGAAAAAAATAAAAATAAAAAATATAACTATATATAAAACAATGAAAAAAAAAAGCAAAAAATAAAAATAAAAATAGATAATAATGAACCCTACCCCCCTTCAAACCAGATAAACATTTAATAATGTCGGACCAACAACTAAAGCTAACATAGAGACTGAAGAACCTGAGAGTAAAACACAATGGCTTGGGCTATATCTGCAGCACCCTCCATTGTCACTTGTTCGAGCTCATATTCAAGTCTGTTGCTGCCCCTTAATTCTTGGTGCCCAGTTGAAGCTCAACCCAAGAAGCCCTGCTGTTTCCATGCTCGTTTTTCATTAATTTCAAGCAAAAAAAATTCTAACTCCATTTGCAGGGCTGAAAAGGAGTACAAATTCCCTGACCCAATTCCTGAATTCGCTGATTCAGTAATTATTATTATTATTATTATTATTATTATTATTATTATTATTATTATTATTATTATTATTATTATTATTATTATTATTATTATTATTTTATTTTTCTCTTATTTTTGTCCAGGAGAGTGAAAAGTTCAAAAATCATTTGTTGAAGAAGTTGTCCAAGAAGGAGGATATGTTTGGGGATTCTATTGATGAAGTTGTTGGAATTTGTACTCAGGTAAATATTCACTCTCTCTTGTTGTTGTTGTTGTTGTTGTTGTTGTTGTTGTTGTGCTCATTTGTAATGTAATATTTGGGGCTGATTGATTGAAAGGCATTCATTCTTCTTTGAGCTGTTCTCGGTTTACTTGTTTTGGCCAAATCAGGCATATGTATAATGGAAAAATGTGCATGTTCAGGAAGTTTCACTCACTTTGTGTTGTGTAAAATCTTTGATTCTTCACAGATTTTCAGTGATTTCCTGCACATGGAGTATGGGGGCCCCGGAACACTGTTGGTGGATCCTTTCGTCGACATGGCAGATACCATAAACGAGAGAGGCTTACCCGGTGGGCCTCAGACGGCCCGGGCGGCTGTTAAATGGGCTCAGGCTCATGTGGACGACGACTGGGACGAGTGGACTAGCAGCTAGAGCTTTTATCAATTGTTTGCGAGACGCGAGCAAGATTCGAGATATTAGCCGACTAAGTGTGGCGGTGAGCTTAAGAATTGTAGCTAGCAGTTTATGGTTTCACCTGACGGCCGCTACTTGCACTCCAGTCCCGGCGCTGTCTGAGTCCCATTTTTTTTTTTTTGGAAATGTTTGTTTAATTTCTTAAATATAGTAATAGGTATCTAATGTTTTAGTTTATCAATTTGACTATTTCTATTATTTAATTTCTGTTTGTTAAATTTCAAATATTTGTGACTTATCTTGCCATGGGCCAATTGCCATGCCATTTAAAACTATGTAATGAGCATTTGATCTACTGTTCTATGTTGTTTGTTGTTTGTTGTGTATTCCACTCATTTGTATGTTGTGTATTCCACTCATTTGGATGATTGACACCGATTTATGTAATGACTGAAATTCATGTAGTTGATGACATTAAACATTGCAAGTGAATTATTGGTGGAGAGACATGGATGGTCGAACAGAAACTCGGAAAATTCGATGCTCCATATAGGAGTACTACCCCCACGTGTTTTCACCATTGATTTCACACACCCACATGGGTGTGTGTATGTATGTGTAAATCAATGGTGAAAAACATGTGGGGGCAGAGATCGAATTCTCCCAGAAACTTTGTATCGTCGAATTCTCCCAGAAACTTTGTATCGAATTCTCCCAGAAACCCTGTTCTTGTAACGAAACAATTAAGCTAACAATGTAAGTCAGAAATGTGAATAAAATATTTTACTTCACCAGAAAAACCATATATATATATGCATAATATTCACAGAAAATATGAAATTCACTCTACATGCTTTTAACATTTGTAAGCACCAATGGGAAATGAATATCTCGACTCCACAGAGCAACCAAGTACATCAAATGCGTAGTAACACGGCTACCAAAAGAGATGCCAAAGGCCACGAAATGATTTCCATATACTTCTAAGTACAAATTCCCAATATCTAAAAGCCAAAAACTCCAAATATTAAGATTTTAACCATATCCCCTAATATGGCTACGAAAGGATCTGGAAAAGAAGCTTCACGAACCTAAAATCTATTGAAGAAATCCTTCAGTCAGTCTCACGGTCAAGATTTGAAACCATCTACATACTTGATTCAAACGTTCTCATAATTGCTTTTCCCGAATGCGCTCAAGTAGTTCTTCCCAATCAATAAAGCGCTCGAGCAATTCTGTCTCCTTCAGCACCAAGCAATCATCTCCCTTTCCAAACCAGTCATAGCGCTTTTTCGCCACGTAATCGTAAATGGCATCCCTCAGAGGAGCCGGAAGAATCATCAGGGAACTCAATGCGGAATAGGGCAGGGGCAAATATGACAAAACCCTCAGAGCAGCTGCACAAAAGTGAGAAAGATTAAAAGCCATCAGCAGCTCCTTTATTTTGTTTTATTATTCCATCCAGAAAATGAAATTAGCAGTAAGGACTCTACCAGCAGATCCTTGATGGTATGAACCGGGTCCCTCAACAAACAAGAAACGGCGAAGAACATCTTCTCTAGTCAGCCCACTAACAATCATGTAAGGCTCAGCAGCATTCGATTGCAGACAGCAGAACTTGATTTTTCTGTCTTTGTCGGCTCTAATGATCCACTTCACTCCTTCATATTGAAGACAATTATCAACAGTCACCATCTTTATCAATTAATACACCAAAGCCAGATAAAAACCAACTATAACCAACACAATTAGGGATTTACTTAAGGTGTCACAATATATCAAGTACCACAAAGGATTCTGCAATTGGATTTTCTTTTTCTGCATAAGATAAGCTGAACATTAAGATAACATTTCCACACAAGATAACTCGAGCACTCGACCAATATGCAATTCTAGGTGCTTTTCCACAACAAATTAGGGGTTTGGCTAGATGAAGGTAGTAAAAAATGCATGTTATACTATTCAGAACATTCAGTAGTAGCCACATTAAAGGTATTGCACGAATGAAAAACTCGTTCTGCAGACTAACAAACACTTGCACGAGTAACCACACTTTAACACCTTGAAATTGCAAATTTGAACAACACATCTCACAATCTAATCCAAGCAAGAAAAACTTGTAATGTCACACACGATTGGCAAAACTATTCATCAAGGCTTTAAGAGTCGGCCATTGTAATTTCCTGTTCCGTTCTGATTGTAGTCTCTTCCGCTTTCAATGTTGTACTTTACAGTCCCATATGACACATTATACAACATAGATTTAGCTCATAACCAACTTGAAAATGGTAATCGCTCTCCCCCTCCCTCCTCAGAATCAGAAAATCAAAATGATAAGGAATTAGGTCACGGAGTACAGGAAAAAAAGGTGATAGAAGGAATTAGGTCACGGAGTACAGAAATCATCTCACTAACAGAATGAAATCGCAAACTAGTTACAAAAAAATAAAGGAAAAAATAGAGTAGAACAAAGGACAAAAAAAGTACCGGCGTGACAGAGGTGGCAAACGCCGTCGTACACGACGACGCGCGGCCGGAGAACATCCGGCATCATCTCTAACGGCGTCGGGGCTGAAAGAGCATCGTCGCTGAGCAGGAACTGCTCCGCCACAGACGCGCACTGGGGACGCGATGACGCCGTTTTGGCCGACGAGGAGTAGTGGCGAGGGTTGAAGAGCTTCGATAAGGCAAGCCATTTCGCATTCCGATTCGTGGAAGCCACCAGCGCAGCCCGGCAAAGCGCCGTCGCCATTTCGCTCCTCTGATCGATTATTTGTATTTTCTAGAAGTCTTTTGCGGTGTTTCTTTGGTTACAAGTCGGTCTTTGGGAACATAGTCGATTCTATATGACTACTATTATATAATTTATATAGTCGATTCTACAAACGGCAGGGAAAAATATAACAATTCCGCACCCTCGTTTCAATTTTAGTAGCACAAAGGCTATGTGATAATTTTTATAGAGATAGCTCCTGAGTAATTTTCATAGAGTTTGTCAGGTAAGTAGCTCGTCTGATGTACGAGAAATAGATATTAAATGAGTCAATTTCACATGGTTTGTTCGTTAAAGTTTAAAATAAAATAGAGTTTGATCATTTGTTATTTTTCATCTTTTTTCATCAGCGTCATTTTTTATTCAGAAACATTAAACCTGTGTCTATTAGCGCTAGCCTGTAAATTAGTTAGTATATTATCTTGTTCACACGTTTATAGTAATATAAATTTGATTTCTTGATCTAAGAAAAATAACAATTTTATTTATTTTTGTTCCTCGTATAATACTCAATTATCATTGTAATATTTATAATAAAATAATGTCATTATTATTATTTATAGACGTTATAGATGTACACGTTATAGATGTACTCTTCTTCTTCTTTTTTATTTTATCTAAGGATAATTTTTAATGTACGTTAATATTATTTATTAATATAATTAATTTAATTATATAAATAAATTTAAAATAAAACAATGTG